CCGAGGGGCGGGGCGGAGCGCGGCTCTGGGACCCCTGGCATTACCACAGCGTGCCCGAGGGGCGGGGCGGAGCGCGGCTCTGGGACCCCTGGCATTACCACAGCGTGCCCGAGGGGCGGGGCGGAGCGCGGCTCTGGGACCCCTGGCATTACCACAGCGTGCCCGAGGGGCGGGGCGGAGCGCGGCTCTGGGACCCCTGGCATTACCACAGCGTGCCCGAGGGGCGGGGCGGAGCGCGGCTCTGGGACCCCTGGCATTACCACAGCGTGCCCGAGGGGCGGGGCGGAGCGCGGCTCTGGGACCCCTGGCATTACCACAGCGTGCCCGAGGGGCGGGGCGGAGCGCGGCTCTGGGACCCCTGGCATTACCACAGCGTGCCCGAGGGGCGGGGCGGAGCGCGGCTCTGGGACCCCTGGCATTACCACAGCGTGCCCGAGGGGCGGGGCGGAGCGCGGCTCTGGGACCCCTGGCATTACCACAGCGTGCCCGAGGGGCGGGGCGGAGCGCGGCTCTGGGACCCCTGGCATTACCACAGCGTGCCCGAGGGGCGGGGCGGAGCGCGGCTCTGGGACCCCTGGCATTACCACAGCGTGCCCGAGGGGCGGGGCGGAGCGCGGCTCTGGGACCCCTGGCATTACCACAGCGTGCCCGAGGGGCGGGGCGGAGCGCGGCTCTGGGACCCCTGGCATTACCACAGCGTGCCCGAGGGGCGGGGCGGAGCGCGGCTCTGGGACCCCTGGCATTACCACAGCGTGCCCGAGGGGCGGGGCGGAGCGCGGCTCTGGGACCCCTGGCATTACCACAGCGTGCCCGAGGGGCGGGGCGGAGCGCGGCTCTGGGACCCCTGGCATTACCACAGCGTGCCCGAGGGGCGGGGCGGAGCGCGGCTCTGGGACCCCTGGCATTACCACAGCGTGCCCGAGGGGCGGGGCGGAGCGCGGCTCTGGGACCCCTGGCATTACCACAGCGTGCCCGAGGGGCGGGGCGGAGCGCGGCTCTGGGACCCCTGGCATTACCACAGCGTGCCCGAGGGGCGGGGCGGAGCGCGGCTCTGGGACCCCTGGCATTACCACAGCGTGCCCGAGGGGCGGGGCGGAGCGCGGCTCTGGGACCCCTGGCATTACCACAGCGTGCCCGAGGGGCGGGGCGGAGCGCGGCTCTGGGACCCCTGGCATTACCACAGCGTGCCCGAGGGGCGGGGCGGAGCGCGGCTCTGGGACCCCTGGCATTACCACAGCGTGCCCGAGGGGCGGGGCGGAGCGCGGCTCTGGGACCCCTGGCATTACCACAGCGTGCCCGAGGGGCGGGGCGGAGCGCGGCTCTGGGACCCCTGGCATTACCACAGCGTGCCCGAGGGGCGGGGCGGAGCGCGGCTCTGGGACCCCTGGCATTACCACAGCGTGCCCGAGGGGCGGGGCGGAGCGCGGCTCTGGGACCCCTGGCATTACCACAGCGTGCCCGAGGGGCGGGGCGGAGCGCGGCTCTGGGACCCCTGGCATTACCACAGCGTGCCCGAGGGGCGGGGCGGAGCGCGGCTCTGGGACCCCTGGCATTACCACAGCGTGCCCGAGGGGCGGGGCGGAGCGCGGCTCTGGGACCCCTGGCATTACCACAGCGTGCCCGAGGGGCGGGGCGGAGCGCGGCTCTGGGACCCCTGGCATTACCACAGCGTGCCCGAGGGGCGGGGCGGAGCGCGGCTCTGGGACCCCTGGCATTACCACAGCGTGCCCGAGGGGCGGGGCGGAGCGCGGCTCTGGGACCCCTGGCATTACCACAGCGTGCCCGAGGGGCGGGGCGGAGCGCGGCTCTGGGACCCCTGGCATTACCACAGCGTGCCCGAGGGGCGGGGCGGAGCGCGGCTCTGGGACCCCTGGCATTACCACAGCGTGCCCGAGGGGCGGGGCGGAGCGCGGCTCTGGGACCCCTGGCATTACCACAGCGTGCCCGAGGGGCGGGGCGGAGCGCGGCTCTGGGACCCCTGGCATTACCACAGCGTGCCCGAGGGGCGGGGCGGAGCGCGGCTCTGGGACCCCTGGCATTACCACAGCGTGCCCGAGGGGCGGGGCGGAGCGCGGCTCTGGGACCCCTGGCATTACCACAGCGTGCCCGAGGGGCGGGGCGGAGCGCGGCTCTGGGACCCCTGGCATTACCACAGCGTGCCCGAGGGGCGGGGCGGAGCGCGGCTCTGGGACCCCTGGCATTACCACAGCGTGCCCGAGGGGCGGGGCGGAGCGCGGCTCTGGGACCCCTGGCATTACCACAGCGTGCCCGAGGGGCGGGGCGGAGCGCGGCTCTGGGACCCCTGGCATTACCACAGCGTGCCCGAGGGGCGGGGCGGAGCGCGGCTCTGGGACCCCTGGCATTACCACAGCGTGCCCGAGGGGCGGGGCGGAGCGCGGCTCTGGGACCCCTGGCATTACCACAGCGTGCCCGAGGGGCGGGGCGGAGCGCGGCTCTGGGACCCCTGGCATTACCACAGCGTGCCCGAGGGGCGGGGCGGAGCGCGGCTCTGGGACCCCTGGCATTACCACAGCGTGCCCGAGGGGCGGGGCGGAGCGCGGCTCTGGGACCCCTGGCATTACCACAGCGTGCCCGAGGGGCGGGGCGGAGCGCGGCTCTGGGACCCCTGGCATTACCACAGCGTGCCCGAGGGGCGGGGCGGAGCGCGGCTCTGGGACCCCTGGCATTACCACAGCGTGCCCGAGGGGCGGGGCGGAGCGCGGCTCTGGGACCCCTGGCATTACCACAGCGTGCCCGAGGGGCGGGGCGGAGCGCGGCTCTGGGACCCCTGGCATTACCACAGCGTGCCCGAGGGGCGGGGCGGAGCGCGGCTCTGGGACCCCTGGCATTACCACAGCGTGCCCGAGGGGCGGGGCGGAGCGCGGCTCTGGGACCCCTGGCATTACCACAGCGTGCCCGAGGGGCGGGGCGGAGCGCGGCTCTGGGACCCCTGGCATTACCACAGCGTGCCCGAGGGGCGGGGCGGAGCGCGGCTCTGGGACCCCTGGCATTACCACAGCGTGCCCGAGGGGCGGGGCGGAGCGCGGCTCTGGGACCCCTGGCATTACCACAGCGTGCCCGAGGGGCGGGGCGGAGCGCGGCTCTGGGACCCCTGGCATTACCACAGCGTGCCCGAGGGGCGGGGCGGAGCGCGGCTCTGGGACCCCTGGCATTACCACAGCGTGCCCGAGGGGCGGGGCGGAGCGCGGCTCTGGGACCCCTGGCATTACCACAGCGTGCCCGAGGGGCGGGGCGGAGCGCGGCTCTGGGACCCCTGGCATTACCACAGCGTGCCCGAGGGGCGGGGCGGAGCGCGGCTCTGGGACCCCTGGCATTACCACAGCGTGCCCGAGGGGCGGGGCGGAGCGCGGCTCTGGGACCCCTGGCATTACCACAGCGTGCCCGAGGGGCGGGGCGGAGCGCGGCTCTGGGACCCCTGGCATTACCACAGCGTGCCCGAGGGGCGGGGCGGAGCGCGGCTCTGGGACCCCTGGCATTACCACAGCGTGCCCGAGGGGCGGGGCGGAGCGCGGCTCTGGGACCCCTGGCATTACCACAGCGTGCCCGAGGGGCGGGGCGGAGCGCGGCTCTGGGACCCCTGGCATTACCACAGCGTGCCCGAGGGGCGGGGCGGAGCGCGGCTCTGGGACCCCTGGCATTACCACAGCGTGCCCGAGGGGCGGGGCGGAGCGCGGCTCTGGGACCCCTGGCATTACCACAGCGTGCCCGAGGGGCGGGGCGGAGCGCGGCTCTGGGACCCCTGGCATTACCACAGCGTGCCCGAGGGGCGGGGCGGAGCGCGGCTCTGGGACCCCTGGCATTACCACAGCGTGCCCGAGGGGCGGGGCGGAGCGCGGCTCTGGGACCCCTGGCATTACCACAGCGTGCCCGAGGGGCGGGGCGGAGCGCGGCTCTGGGACCCCTGGCATTACCACAGCGTGCCCGAGGGGCGGGGCGGAGCGCGGCTCTGGGACCCCTGGCATTACCACAGCGTGCCCGAGGGGCGGGGCGGAGCGCGGCTCTGGGACCCCTGGCATTACCACAGCGTGCCCGAGGGGCGGGGCGGAGCGCGGCTCTGGGACCCCTGGCATTACCACAGCGTGCCCGAGGGGCGGGGCGGAGCGCGGCTCTGGGACCCCTGGCATTACCACAGCGTGCCCGAGGGGCGGGGCGGAGCGCGGCTCTGGGACCCCTGGCATTACCACAGCGTGCCCGAGGGGCGGGGCGGAGCGCGGCTCTGGGACCCCTGGCATTACCACAGCGTGCCCGAGGGGCGGGGCGGAGCGCGGCTCTGGGACCCCTGGCATTACCACAGCGTGCCCGAGGGGCGGGGCGGAGCGCGGCTCTGGGACCCCTGGCATTACCACAGCGTGCCCGAGGGGCGGGGCGGAGCGCGGCTCTGGGACCCCTGGCATTACCACAGCGTGCCCGAGGGGCGGGGCGGAGCGCGGCTCTGGGACCCCTGGCATTACCACAGCGTGCCCGAGGGGCGGGGCGGAGCGCGGCTCTGGGACCCCTGGCATTACCACAGCGTGCCCGAGGGGCGGGGCGGAGCGCGGCTCTGGGACCCCTGGCATTACCACAGCGTGCCCGAGGGGCGGGGCGGAGCGCGGCTCTGGGACCCCTGGCATTACCACAGCGTGCCCGAGGGGCGGGGCGGAGCGCGGCTCTGGGACCCCTGGCATTACCACAGCGTGCCCGAGGGGCGGGGCGGAGCGCGGCTCTGGGACCCCTGGCATTACCACAGCGTGCCCGAGGGGCGGGGCGGAGCGCGGCTCTGGGACCCCTGGCATTACCACAGCGTGCCCGAGGGGCGGGGCGGAGCGCGGCTCTGGGACCCCTGGCATTACCACAGCGTGCCCGAGGGGCGGGGCGGAGCGCGGCTCTGGGACCCCTGGCATTACCACAGCGTGCCCGAGGGGCGGGGCGGAGCGCGGCTCTGGGACCCCTGGCATTACCACAGCGTGCCCGAGGGGCGGGGCGGAGCGCGGCTCTGGGACCCCTTGCTGGATGAAGACGGTGTCACTGGTCAGGTTGCCGTGGATGATGGGTGGGTCGCAGGAGTGCAGGAAGCTGTGGAAAGATCAGAGCCCCCTGAAACGTTTCTGGCCCCCGGGGCATGAAGCCGCAAGCCAGGCAACTGCACAGGGGCTCACCTGAGAGCAGAGAGGATCTGTGTGCACCAGCGCTTCCAGGCCTGGGGGAGAGAGCACAGCGCCCCAGCTCAGTAAAGCCCGTCCGGTCCCCAGAGAGCAGAACAAGATCACCCCTCCAACCTGCTCCGGAGGGCCCGGTCCCAGGCCCCCTCCCCTTTACTCCTCCCAGGCCAACCCGCAGGGCCACCCCCGGCAGCAGGCCCCAGAGTCAAGCAAAGGGGCCAGGTTAGTGTCCCCGACAGATGCTAGCGAGGCTGAGTGCCCGGCAGCCCACGAGTCTCTCCCAGAGGAGCCGGGGCCTGGGCAGCGCTCGGAGAAAACACATGGCTTAAAATGCACCTGTCTTGGGTCTCCAATGGCCCTTGCTGGAGCATCATGCGCCCCAGGGGGCCAGCCGCACGGCGAGGGAGGTGCTGCCCCATGTCACAGGGACGCGCCCAGGCTCCTGGTCACGGAGGGGAACAGAACCCGGCGCGGCGCCTCGGCGGGACGGCCCCAGGGAGTCCCCTCCGGGTTGTGCCCTAGGAGGTGCCAGCCGGCAGTGGGCGGGGGCAGAGTCCTGGTTTCTAAGGCTAGGTCAGCTCAGGTTGGAAGGGGAGGGTCTTCGCCTCAGGGGAATGGGGCTTAGGCTCCCTGCCTGGCATGGGGTGTCCACTCCCCTGCCCACCCATTCCCGGGACCTACCCGAGCATTCATGGCCTTGTGGTTCTTCTTGGTTTTCTTCAGGAACTGCTTCAGGCTCCCCGAGGACACGTATTCGGTGATGAAGATCACCTGGTGGGGGAGGGGAGTGAGACGTTTGCCCTCTGCAGCCCAGTATCCCCCCGCCAGGCCCTTTGCCTGCCCCCCCGCCGGATGGGGAAGAGAGCAAGAGCCTGCGCAGGGTTCTCAGGCACCTCTGCAAAGGCCAAGGAGCAGCAGCACCTGCACAGGATCCCCGTCTGCAGACATGGCCCCCATCTGGGGCCCGCCCTGCCCCCTTACCCGGGCCTTGGCATCCTTCACATCCAGCCAGTACTTGTGCAACTTCACGATATTGGGATGGTCCACAACCACCAGCTGCTCAAACATGGTCTTGATCTTCTCCTGTGGGTACAGGCAAGGTGAGCACGTTGGGGAGACCAGGGTCGTGATGGGGAGTGAGGTGCAGGGGAGCAGGCTCTGGGGGCGCAGGGCACACCAGGACCTATCTGAGCAAGGGGGGAGGGGGAGGTACAGGGACTGGTTCAGAGACAAGGGGAGCAGCGACAGGAGGAGGGTTGCTAGGATCCAGGTTTTGACCTGAATGCCCTATCGAAAATGAACCCTGATGGCTCTGGTCAGCAGCCGTTTAAAGTCTGGTTGGTGGCAGAGCAGAGGCCTGGTCTGAGGCAGCTTCCCTACTTCTCCTTACGGCTCCAGCAGGAAGGCTCCGTGCATTGTCCCCACCCAGAGTGCTGGCTCTGCAGCTCCCATTGTCCAGGAACTGCAACCAATGGGAGCTGCAGGGGCGGCTCCTGTCGGCATGAAGGCAGCACACAGACCCTCCTTGGCTGCCCATGAGCCTAAGAATCAGCCCCCTCATCCCCAGACCCACTCCAGAGCCTATGCCCATGGCCGGAATCCTCAATCTCCCCACTGCACCCCACACCCTGCCCAAGCCCAGTGACAGTGAGAGCATGGTGAACAGTGGAAGGGGGGGGATGGAGCGAGCAAGGGTCAGGGCCCCTGAGAAGGGGCTGGGCAGGGGTATGGCCTTAGGCCAGGGATGGGGTGTTTGGTTTTGTGCAGTTTGGAAGCTGGCAACCATAGACAGAAGAGCTGTCTCTAGGCATGGAGGAGGCACAGGGGAGCGACCTCTGATGTTCCTGGGGTGGGTCTGTACGGGCCGGAGATGAGCAACATCTCAAGGAGAATGTGTAGGCAGAAGCCACCTGAGCTGTAGGCCAGCAGGGCCAAGCGGGCCTGGGGTTTTAGGGAACTGATGAGTGCGGGGGGAGGGGAGTGCTTGTCCAGCCAGCACAAAAGCAGGAAGGAGCCAGTCACCTCATGGGCCTTGAAGGCCTTCTTGTCTGTGAAATGCAGCTCATTCCACACCACCTCCACGCCCTCCTCCGTGTCCATGGCCAGGAAGGTGCTCTGGATCCCAGGCATGTTCCCCTGGTTCACCTGTGAGGCACACATGAGACAGCACTGCAGTGGGCGCTACCCGGAGCCTATTCCAGCCAGGCTTGCAGCCCAGAGTTTCTCGCCAGCCCTGCAGAGAGAACAGCCAAGAGGGATGGGGGAGCTGGCTTTGCTAATGTGACACCAATGTTTTAAAAGGGCTGCAGAGGCCATCCTGGCAATTACAGACCAGTAAGTGTAACGTCAGTACCGGGCAAAGTAGTCGAAACAATAGTAAAGAATAAAATTGTCAGGTATGTAGAAGAACATAATTTGTTGGACAAAAGTCAATATGGTTTTTGTAAAGGGAAATCCTGTCTTACTAATCTGTTAGGGTATGTCTACACTACCCCCCTAGTTCGAACTAGCGGGGTAATGTATGCATACCGAACTTGCTAATGAAGCCCGGGATTTGAATTTCCCGGGCTTCATTAGCATAAAGCCGGCGCCGCCATGTATGTCTACACTACCCCCCTAGTTCGAACTAGCGGGGTAATGTATGCATACCGAACTTGCTAATGAAGCCCGGGATTTGAATTTCCCGGGCTTCATTAGCATAAAGCCGGCGCCGCCATTTTTAAAAGCCGGCTAGTTCGAACCCCGTGCCGCGCGGCTACACGCGGCACGGGCTAGATAGTTCGAACTATGTAG